ATTAAAATTTTTAGGAAAATTAATATATAAAATCACCAAAAATTTAAATAACAAAATGAATCATAAATTTAATTTCCTATATAACAAAATTATTCACCAAAATTAACAAAATAAATTTACAAAAAGTACCAAAATTATCAAAATTACTTTCTATTTGGAAATTAATAATTCACCAAAATTAATAAATTAATTTTCCCAAAATTATTTATTCAAAAATTAGAAAAAATAATAATATTTGTTTAATTAATGTACCAAAATAAGTAAAAATTAATTTTGGAAATATACCAAAATTTAACAAAATTTCCAAATTTAATTTAGCTAAATTACTATAATTAATTTTCCAAATAACCAAAATTACAATAATTAAAGTACCAACACTACCAAAATTTAAAAATTTTTAGTAAAATTAATATATGAAATTACCAAAATTAATATAACAAAATGGATTACAAATTAATTTTCCACATAACAAAATTAATCACTAAATTGCCAAAATTAAAGTACAAAAACTTCCAAAATTAGCTAAATTACTTCACTTTCATAAATTAATAATTCACAAAAAATAATAATTTCCCAAAAGTATACGAAAATTATTCATTAACACATTAGAGAAAATAATAATTTTTTGTTAATCTGTAACTTAACAATATAAATCAAAATTAAATTTTGGAAGTATACCAAAATTTAACAAAATTGACAAAATTAATTTATCAAAATTCATTATGAAATTTACCAAAAATATATTACATAATTAATTATCTCTAAATTAATTTAGCATTGTTATTAAATTAATAAAATTACTGTTTGATAATTACGAAAATTAATTAGTTATAATTTACCAAAGTTAAGCAAAATGAATTTACAGAAATTATTATTTTTTCTAAATGTTATTAGTTTACCAAAGTTACAAAAAAATCATGTACCGAAATAAATTACCTAATTTATCAAAATTGACTGTGAAATCTAACAAAATATTTTACCAAAATTAATTTCCAAGTTACCAAAAATTAATTTTTGTTATCTAAAGAGAAGCTAGCAACGTGTGGATATCTTACAAGTGTAGTCTAATTATGTTCCTTAAGAATTAACATACATGATGGAGAAGGTTTCTTGAAAAGGGAGTGGAAGGGGTGTGGGATTTTAGGTGAAAAAGGTGGGATATAGTTTTTCTAATTAGTATGAGAGAGAAGATAGTGGGAGACCTTTTGGGAGCAAAGTGGTTTTAAACTTCCTCAAATATTGGAACATGGGGCTACACAACCAAGGGGAGGGGGATCATCCCCCAAACCCATAAAGCCCCCAACCCTAGTGCAAACTGGATTTGATCCTAAGTCTCTTTTACAACCAACAGGAGACCTTACCAACCAACCAGTTGACACTTTGGTAGGAGATGTTTAAAATTAAATTAATAAAAAATCTCTATTTATTGCTGTTTTCATAACAAAAAAAAAGAAAGAAAAACTTGAATATCATGAAAATCCTTTGTAAAAATTTTGATATGAATAAATTACTTTTCAAAAATCTATTAATATATTATATAGTGATTAAGTCCACATCAGCAGCTCTCTCCTCCCATAGACCCTTTCTCATCTCTCCTTTAACTTCTCTTCTTTCTCCCTTACCCCTTCTAAGCTCTTTGTTTCACTCTTTTTCTTTCCTCCCCTTCCCTTACCCTGGCCTCCCAATAGGCCATGTGGCAAGAGAGGTCTCAACCATCCAAATATCAAGCATTGTATTACATCGAAATCATAGAATTTTAGATTGATGGAAATGAAATTACCATCATATCATGGTTGAGACCTTTCTTGCCATATGACCCATTGGAAGGCCTGAGAAGGGGAAAGGGAGGAAGGAGAGAGGTTTTAGGAGAAATGAGAAAAGGGGGAATGGGAGAAGGAGAGAGCTGCTGACGTGGACTTAATTGCTATATAATATAGCAATCAATATATAATTTTTATTTTCAATTTTATTATATTATTTATTTCAATTTTATTGTAAAATTTTCAATTTCATTTTATTATATAATATAAACAATCGTATACATCAAAATTCATATAGAGTAAAATTTTAAGATTTTTTTTTTCAATTTCTTGTCTATCTTGTTATTTTATTTTAACTTTCCATTATTTTTTCAAAACTTCTAAAAGTTTCGCGTGAACCTGTGGCCCAACCCCACTCATGGCCCATTGGGCCCAGGCCTCAAGTCTTGTCGGGCTCCCCTTTGAGTTAACTTTGGCTGTTGGGGGCCAACAACGTATGCTGTTGAGAGTGGTTTTAGGCTGGACACATTCACCAATTCACACCCATGTCTATGCTTATGGTTAAAAAGAAATAGAGAGCAATTACTATTTTACCCCACTCTATGGTAACGTGTCATTTCCAAAAATGTTCTCAACAGCAGAGGCTGCTGGCCCCCAACAACCAAAGTTTTTCGGACCGGGGTCTGCTCCTCACACATGGGCGCTTCACAAGCACATCCACTGTGCATTAGGAACATCTCCCGTGAATAATAACTTATAAGTACGGGAGATATTCCCAATGCATGGTAGGATGTGCATGTGAAGTCAGTGTGAGGCGCCCTGTGTGAGGAACAGATCCGGTCTCAAGTTTTTTCCTCCCCTCTTGGGGGATTTGTGCCAAGCAGGCACGGCCCGCCAAGGCCCACATTTCAGGCACGGCATGCAGCCCACGTTACACCTCTAGTTGTAGGAAATCCGGACTGTTTGTCAAATTATCACCTCTTTACTTAGTGGTCTATGTAAACGTCACTTATTGAAATGTTTTCTAATGGGCTTTGTTCGACCCAGTACAACTATAAGATCAAGCCTAGGTAATGGCCATAAATCACAAGGGTCTTGCATTTTTGCAGTTTTACAGGCTATACACATGGTAAGTTTCAGGTCAGACCACAGAAAAAGTTGGCACCTTTTACTTTTTTCCTGGCCTGAAAAATCTATAACTGAAAATCTTAAAACCAATATGCGCATCAATGGTTCCAGTTCGGCCGGATTAGGATTTGAGGTGGCTTCGAATGGGCTTAGACCAAAATTAGTAGCCCACATTTGACGGTGATGATTAGTTTTTTGCCCAAAACATGTGAACCTCTGGCCTATGAAACAGATGCATTGAAATTAGATTTTAGCTAGGAAGGGGATTGGTGGGTTGGCTTTCTACTTGATTTTGATCGGACATGTGGCCCTCTAGACGTCCCCGTCGCCCATGAATTGATCGATTAATACAAGTTATAGCTTCTACGCTATGTGATCCACTAACGACATTTGGGGCTACCTCATCTTATCCCTCACGAGTAGCGGGAGTCACTCACAAGTTAGAGAGAGAGAAGGCAATTTCTACCATGTGTTTCATGTTTTATTGCTCCCCACCGGGTAAGGCAGAAATTGCCATCCCTACCCGGTGGGAACCTGCCCCAACCCTTCTTGATGGGTTGGAGTTTTTTACTTAAAAGATGGGTTTTGGGATTATACAATCTGTATGGGTACCGATAGGGTATATATTAGGTTAAATACCAATTCTCCCTGATCTTCATATTATTGGAAAACATATAAATTTTATGTATTAGGTGTTAAATTTAATAATGTTTTGAATTTTATGTATTGATAGTAATGTGTTTTTAGATGTCTTAATCAAATAATTTGAAACTTTGTTGTTTATTTTTGTTATTTTACTTATTTATTAGTTATATATGACAAGAAACAATAGAAAATTAGATAAGGGTTTTAAACCTAATCTATCCCTACCCTCCAATGCAGAGAGAATAAGGTCAGGGAGGGTTTTACATTTTCTTGTGTGAAAAAGGTTTAAATTCCCAAAATCTAATTGCAATCTGTGATAGATTTTGGGGCAGGTACATGTTGAGAGGTTTAGGGAGGCAGGTAAAGTCTAAATTTTACAAAACCCTCCCCCAACTCACCCCATTGCCATCGCTAACAGCTCAAAATCGAATAGCCGTTTTAGCCCTCTGAGGAGACCAGCCTCCAGACAAGGCGTCCTGCATCCATCAATGGTGGTATCCTCATCAATGCAGTGATAGCTACTGATGACACAACAAACCAAACAAGGATATATTAAATGTCGTGTTCTGATATTAGACCATCTATGTATGTATATATTCCAAGGTATGGTTGGTGGTATCCCATTCCCATTCCCATGAGGGCCCAATTCTCACCAGTTTTCATGTGGATTGTGGAGAGTGTTTCCCTGCTTGCTTCAGTCGCCAAGAGTTGCTTGCTTGCTTGCTTGACGTAACGAATCAGAGCTTCTTCAAAACCTTTTTAGATAAGCGAAGCTTCTTCAAAACTTGGGCGACATGATTAATTCACGCATCAAAGTAATCTTCTGGTTGAACATACAATAAATGGATCAAAAGATTGGGAATTCCCTGTCATACTTTCTTTTGTTTTCTTTCTAGAAGCCGCTTCTGTCATCGTCATACATCCCAACATAATCTCTCTCTCTCTATCTATCTATCTATATATCTATCTCTCTCTCTTGGTTCCGGACTCGGACAAATTAACGTAGGTAGAAGTGAACCACTTCAATTCCCTTCTCCTACAATATTGACAACTATCGAGATGGGTTCACTCAGTAGCCCGTTTTTCATCTTTGAACGTAGATGGAGTCCTTCCGTGTCTCCGGTAAGCTTCTTTCATTCTTGTTTAGTTGTTTAAGGAGGAAGAAAGCAGACAGCATCATATAGACATAGACATCGTCAACACTCCACAGTATCAGTGTCACACAGTTGTTAATAACTTATATAGCAAAGAAGAAATTACAGTGCTAGCTCCTGATCATAACCTCAGAAGATGACAATCCTCCTTTAATTATATATACAACTATGAACCCCCATTGCTCCATACCCTAGACCAACCACCACACACACACACAGAACCTTCTCCTTCTCATCCTCCTCAAGTAGCTCATCATCCAAAGAGAAAAGGTAAGAGCAACTTCATTGCTTCATCAAGCCGCCGTGAGCCACCATGACCTTCGTCGATGACAGTGAGGTGGGCGACGCAGAACGCCGGAAGCCGGACAGGAAATGTTGGATATACGTCCTCATTGCGATTGGGGTGGCGGTGCTGATCCTACTTATGGTGGTGATAGCGCTTTTCTTGTTTCGTATCAGAAGGCCTAGTGTCAGGTTGAGCGTGGTCGAACTCAGGACTGTGAGCATCGACAGCCTGAAATTGAAAGCCGAAGTGACTATCAAGAATGAGAACTTCGGTTACTTCTTATACGAGAGGAGCGCTCTGACCATCTCCCATGGAGGCGTGGGGGTTGGGCAGGCCACCATTGACCCTGGGCGAGCTACGGCCCGGAGTACAAAGCGGATGCACTTGGATATCAACGCAACCTCGACTCATTTCTCCAGTCCTTCAGTTGATTTGACGCTGAGCAGCTACGCTGTGTTGATCGGGGATGTTCATATCTTCAGGTTTATGAAGACACCCAAGTCCACGGAAATGAGATGCACCATGAGAGCCAATTTGATTGCCCTGACTATTTCTGATTTGTCCTGCATTGACGTCTGAAACTGTAGGGCTTGAGTTGAATCAATGTATCTTTCGTTTCAGTTTATTCATTTCTCAGTCCTCCTCCTCCTCCTCCTCCACCAACTGCTACATACTGCCAATACTTCTACTATTACTAGATCCATGAGGGAAAAGTGCCGTTAATTTAAGGGTTTGAGTGCTTAATTACTCTCCTATGTATTTTTATGTATTTCTATTTGTATTTTGTATTGGAATTTAAGATCGATCAATTTCGTATTTTTATGAGCTAGCTAATCTCTGTTCTCTATTGCTCTGTGTCTCTCAGTCTCAGTTCATTCTGTATGACAATCCCCTGATGAGACTAGTCACAGTCAAAAGATTCAAAACCAAACTTGGGTTGAATAAGCCATTCACGATTTGTAATGAATGAATACCTGGAGACATTTGCAGAAATCTCCTAATCCTCTTAATGGTTAATAGACAGAACTTATTCGATCAGGGAGGGTAAGAAATCAGAGAGACGACCATTTCCCCAATTTCACTCAGTTGAAACTATTCATGATACAGAGCAAAACTTCGATCCCGACGGTTTGAGTACATATATACACTCGCTTGTCTATTTGCGATGCAATTTCGTAGTATGAGAGTGCAAATTCTTGTTTACTTTTGTTTCAAGTTTGTTTTGTTTGTTGGCAAATGGCAGTATGGACCAAGTAAAATGATACTTGCTATATAAGTGAATCAGAATCTAAACTTAAGCTATGTTTGTTTGCAATGCATATTTGAATTGGATACAAATTTTACACCCACTTCAGTTTTACACTCTTATTCCATATAAGATTTGTACATTTTATCTCAATTGCACTTAGGCTAAGTTTGGGAGTGCTTAAAAATAAGCACTTATTTTGGGCCCGGTCAGGCTATGTTTGGTGATTAATTAACTGGTTTGAAAAATAAGACATTGTTGGGGATGTTTGACAAGTCACTTTTCTAATAAGTATTTATTTTAGCAAAAATGATATTTTTAACCCTTGCAAATGGGGTACAACCAAGGTTCAAAGTATCGATACACCTGTGTATTGGTAGATACGATATGATACATTTGATACGGGACGTATTGTATCGTTATACCTTGAACCTTGGATGCAACTGCAACTGGGAAGCTTTGCAATTTGCAGTAAGAACTAGAATCTGAAACCACTGAACACATGGATCATTCACACCAACTTCTCTAACTTCCTAATTCTAGGTTCCAGAGCTTAAAAAAAAAGTTGTTAAGGGCTGTTCGAGATTCACCCCAGCTTTCGAATCCTTAATAATATCCATCCATGGCTTCTCCTGCTTCTTCATTGTCTAGTCGCATTGACGTGTTCTGGCATGAAGAATAAGGGATGGATACTACCATTCTGGTCACCATGTTCGGCATGAAGATTGATTATGCATTAATTCGGCCTCTTGGTCACCATGCTCAGCCTGCTCAAGCCGATGGATACTGCTTCCTTAACAATGCTGGCCTTGTCGCTGCTGGGCAAAGGTCGATTTTAATTCCGCTGTACCAGTGATCACCAGTAGTTGCACCTCTGCTCCCTCCCGCGGTTGCTCTGTTTGTAAGGTTCGAATGGAGAAGAAGAAGGGTTTTTTTCCATGGTTTTTAAAATTGATCCGGTGAAGGAACCGGTCAGGGGTTCGGTTATTGGGTCGAATGATCCGATCATTCGAACCGAATGCTCGGCCCATTCTTACAAAAAAAAAAAACGGTCAAAACCGTTCGAACGGTTCAAACGGTTAACCACCCAGTTCAGTGGTTCGTTAACCAAAATCAATGGTTTTGAGGGAAAATCCGGTTTTTGAGAAAAACGGAAGCAGTCACCTGACTGGTTCCTGGTTTTTCGGGTCCGACCGTCCAGTCCAGTCCGGTTTTGAAAACCATGGTTTTTTCCTTTGTGGGGATAATTTAGGTATTAAGAAAATTTTGTAGGGACTGGACCATCCCAAAATTTTGGAATAAGAACAAGTGCTTAAGAAAAAGCCACCTCTAACCTGTACTTATTTTCCACTTGTTAGTACTTATTTTCCACTTGTAAGATGCAAACACTTCTTTTCAAGTACTCTTTCAATAAAAACTTAAAATAAGTGAAATCAAACATGTGGCTCACACCAATAACCATTTATTCGTGTTTGAAAAATAAGCCAAATAAGTGTGTATCCCTATGAATAAGCACTTAAAAATAAGTCAAAAAATTTGGGCCTTAATCAAAAGTGCTTAGGCCCATAATGTCACCTTGAAAATATTTATACTGCCCTTAGAATAGGTGCTTATTTTTCAAATGAGCACTCCCAAACAATTGGTTGATGTATCAATAGTATTTAATTACAAATAGTGCTTTTGAGTTGATCTTGACTTGCAATTAAAACAATCTACTTTATCTAAAAGAATATAAGAATAGGGACCCACAATAATGTATTATTGGAATCTTCATTCGTTAGAGAACTAAATTTAATATTATTTTTCATTGAAGAATATGAAGAACTTTCTAATTCCAATAGGAAATTCACACGGTTTTAAGTTAGAATGGGACACTGGCTGTTGTGTATTTATTTTTGTCTGAATGGGTGGGCTAGTTTGAAGAGCGGTTATGAATAGATCAAAGTTTTTCCTTAATTATAAAAGAAATAATCTTTCAACTCTTCCAATATATCAATTAAGGTTCAATTTGGAATATAAATGCAAATATATAAAGTGTAAAACTTTATATTTTATATTATTTTGCTTGTATTTGTATCGTACATATTTGCATTTGTATTTTTTTCAAACTGACCCTTAATGAATTCCAACATTCCATCCACAAACTCTTTTCACATCTCCTACCCATCACGAATTGGAAATATCTTTTCAAACATTCATGGGAAATATTCATATTCTCAATGCACAAAGATGTAGAAGTTGGAAGAGTTTGTGGGTAGGAGATCTGATTGTTTTTGGTTTTTGCTAACAAGACAGTTATTTATTATTTTTGTTTTAAACATAAAACCATTCAAATTAATGAATACCTCCTAGTTAATATGCTGACTACAAAACACTGTTCACACATCCTGTTCACAAAACACTATCCACATGACAAATATCTCTCCATCAAAGGTCAATGACAACATACTGTAGGGTTTGTTGCCGGCCGGCGTTTCATCGTCAGCAGAGATCTAGACTACCTAAATAAGCTGTTAACTTTGAACATTGTTACAACAAATGTTTCATACGATCCCGATTAGTGCAGAGATCCGAAGTTAATTAATTCAATATTCAGAGTGAGTTGAGATCTGTAATTTTTTCTCGCTTGCACTTCCATTTAATCTTTTTTGTGTCTCATGTGTATGGTATTTATTTATAGGCACATGTAGGGGCACATTCATTTTTGGGAGAATGACAATTCAGCCCAGGGTCAGAATTTGTTGGCTCAAAGTACTGTTGGGGTAGGTGACAGCTCGGAACTGATGACAATTCACGGGTGGGCGTTGGTGCATAGAGTGTGGGTTGTTACCATTTTGAATATTTAGCTCTGCAGTGGAAATCAGAAATCTATATTGGGCCTGTCTGTACATTTCTGTTCAGTTTTTGGTAAAAGTAAGTTCATGGAAAAATGGTTCCCTTTGATCCACAATCCCATATATTATTGTGTTCCATGGAAAAGTTATTTTCTTGGCTATCACTCATTGTTTTCAAAGGCTGTTGAGGCCAAGCCTAAGAGAAAAGGCCTGGCCTCAATAGCCCTAGACCCCACTAGCAAGGCTTAGCTTTTGCTCATAGTATTCAAGGTTTGGGCCTCAAATGTTTGGCATGCTTATGTTAAATATGAAGGTTTATATAGGGATAAAATAGAAATTTTAAGATAAAAAATGCCTTATTTTATATAGGTTGTATGGGGTATTTAACAAATAAATGCATATAAATGTGTAAGGAAATAGCTTCCTTTATTGTTCATATTTTGTATTATTCATGTTTTATTCTTACCCACATGCCCACTTTCCCCATTCTTCACTAATGATACAAGTGCAAAAATGAAATGGGAATGCTTTACTCTTAAAACACTATTGGTTCATATCACTGAACTAAAAGGTTTGACTATATTGTTCTGTTCTAATATTTAGATTTTAGGGAAAAAAACTACTATATTAAGATTTCAGTGATGCAAGGTTCAAAGTATCAATAAGATATGCCATCAAATCTTGGGGCCGGGTATTGATACCCATTTTTAAGGCATTTAAAAAACTCTTTTCTTTTTAATAATTGAATAACATAAAACTAACAATTCCGTAAAATTTTGAAACCCTTGGTAATTGGTATCTTTTACCTTCTCACCTCTTCACAAAGCGAAAAAATTACAAGCTAGCACAATGGGATAATATTGTTACTTCTAATTTTGTATTTTAAGGATAAAATGAAAATCACTCAGCTGCAAAATATTTAGAATTGGGATTAGCTGAACACCATCGCTGTTCGGGGGGCTGTGGAACCAATGACAGTGTTCCATTGGTTCCACAGTGTACTTAGCCGGATATATGAGAATGGAGAGGCAACTGATCGTAAGTGCAGGAAGTTCAGCAGATCCCGACTCGTTCGTAGTCGTTAGATTAGACAGAAGCTGCTTCATTCTTAGAAGTCAATGGTCAAGGCCTCCGTAACGCCATTAACATTAATATTAAAGTTTCTGCGACCCAAGGAGAGGCAACTACCTTGAACCAGTCCCGTTGAAAACTACACTATCTGCTGTTGATATGATATCACCTCACCCCGGCCGGCCGCCCAATTTAAATTCATCTGGTGACCATCCAACGATAGACAGAAGGCAAGAAAGATCGATCAGATATATATATCCAACACTAGCTGTAGCTGCACTCACCGGAGACCGATCGTTCGTAGCCTGCTTCTAAAGAAAAAGAAGATCGAACCAGCCATGCTGGAAGCTCAGAAGCATCGCCGCATGCAAAACATGAAATGCTATGCCTATATCGCTGCATTCGCCGTGTTTCAGACCATAATAATCCTAGTGTTCGCCTTAACCGTGCTGAAGATCAAAACTCCCAGCGTTAAGTTGACCAGCGTCACCGTCGACAGGCTCAACTCTGCTACCACACCGTCTCCTTCCTTCAACATGACCTTGACAGCTGAAATCGCTGTCAAGAACAAGAATTTTGGCCATTTCAAATTCGATAACAGCACGGCGACAGTCTCCTACGGGGGCACGGCGGTAGGGGAGGCTTTCGTACCCATGGCTCGGGCCAAGGCGCGGAAGACTCGACGTATGAATATTACGATGGAGGTGACCTCGGAAAGGCTATCGGGTGTTACGAACCTGAGCAATGATCTGAGTTCAGGAACGTTGACGCTGAACAGCTACGCCAAGCTGAGTGGGAAGGTGCACTTGATGAAGATAATGAAGAAGCGAAAGTCTGCAGAAATGAACTGCACCATTGCAGTTAATTTGGGCAGCAAGACAATCCAGAAGGTGGAATGCGAGTGACAGACAACTGAAGTTCTTGCTAGCTAGAGTGGGGATTCTATGTTGATTTTGGTTATTAGAATTTAGAAATAAAGAGACTATATCTATATTGAGGATCAGTCTCCTGGAATAAATTAATTTTCCACTTTTTAATTTTTATATGCGGTACTATATATTGATAGTTCGGTTATTATCCTAGCTGACTAGTACTTTATGGGCTAGCGCCTTCCGGTTGATATCATTCCTATTTGTTTATTATCCTAGATGTGTTGATTAATTATGTTCTGAGTAGTTCTCCAAAGGCAAGTGTAGATGACAGTCTAAACCACAATCATATTCTTAGCTACTAGACTGAGACCTGTTCATGGGCCCAACGCTTGCAAAAATTTGAATGGATCCGGCCCAACTTTCAGCCAGAACTTATCAGATTCTGGGTCAAGCATGCATGAGGCGCCAAAACGAAACAAAGTCAACAAAAATAATTTTGGAGATGTACGTACATTTGAAAAATAGATGCCCCAACTTTTGATGATTCATTGATTTGAAAAAAACAGACGTGATTTGTGAACAATGGGGTATGTGTTCAACACGTTTTGATAAAAGAAAATACAATATGTTACCAGAATTGGACAAAACAGAAATTGGTAAAATAGCTGGGACCCAAGAAGCTCATTAGCTCAACAGGTTGGTTGGATTGGAGCATAGCATATCTTTTTCCATTGGAATTGTTTTGATCAAGAGTTTTTTTTTTTTTTTCAAAAAGCTTAAGCTATTAGATGAGGTTTCTGAATAAGTTTTTATTCTCTAAGACGCCCTTTCACGCAGAAGTTTATCAGACTTAAAAGAGTGAATAACAGATAAGCACAGATGCATCCATACCTTATGTTGAAATTTAATTAATTATAATGAAAAAATTGAAGATCAAACACCTTTATATTGTTTTGCCCTATTGCCCTATTGGAGGCAGAATTCTTTTCAAACGTACTTTGAGAAATACAGGCTGTCTACTTGAAGACCATTTCGTTAATGGTCAAACAAAAAAAAATGGTATTTTTTCCTCTTTTAATATGAAATTAAGAAAGTCTACATGGTCAAATGGGGAAAACTTTACTAGTAAGATATCAAAATATTTGAGGTATAAATCTTGGTTGGAGTTTTGGGAATTGGTTGTATGGGTGATCATCATTGCCCGAATTGAAAATTCTAAACTTGGTTCTAAGCATGGTTTTTAAAACCGATTTGGTCACTGAACCGGTTAGGGGTTCGGTTACTAGGTCGAACGGTTAATCATTCGGTTTAGCAGTTTGTTGACCAAAATCAATGGTTTTGAGGAAAAGCGGAACCGGTCATGTGACCAGTTCCCAGTTTTTCTGGTCTGACCATCTGGTCCAGTCCGGTTTTAAAAACTATGGTCCTAAGTATTATGTTCAGGTCTGGCCTAAGCCAGACCCACATGAGGTCCACAAATTTTCATGCCAGGCATGGCCCCAATACTTCAGCCCATGCACAAATTGAGAAGTTCCGGTGTATTTGGATTCGGAGATTGGAACCATGCATGCCCAAGCAGGTAGAGCTCATACAGTACAGTACCGTTTGGGTAAACTTTTGTTTTTGGGGTTTGACTAATCAAAATCTCCCGTGAATTTTGATGAAAATCCACTTGTCTTTCTTGTGGTGGGTCATTCACGTCTTGTGTTCAAACAGCCTAACAGAAGATTTCATAGCTAGTGAACTATCAGTACTATACTCTTCAAAATTAAGATTTGAAATTTGATACAGAATGCACAAAGAAATAGTAGAACGATTCCAACCCCAGTTCACTAATTCTCAGATGGATTCTTCTTATTTGATATGTGCACACGGTAATACTTCAATGCCAATAATCCTGGTTTCATTAATAATTTAGAGCAATTGTTTAATTAAGTAGCTAGATGCCTTTCGGATTTTATTTTACAGGAAGAACATTGTATAGTTATTATAATAGTTATAAATAAATAAATTGATTAATTAGTTAGACTATAAAAATAAACTAACCAGACCAAACAGATTAAAAGTGAACGCCACTTAACTTTTCAGGTTTTGTTTGAACAGAATTCAACACGCTGTGTGGTAATGTTACGTAATATTTCTACATATTCAATTCACACCCACACAATGCTACTTTAGTCGTATACAACTGACTATGAACCTTCCTATTACATCTGACAACTGATTATAGATGGAAAGGATAATGCATCTAGATGGTCAATTTGTACTGATTAGATAGTATTAACTTTGACCATGTTAGAAGGCTGTGTTTGGATTTAGGAAGAATTAAAAATGGAAATGGATTAGAGCATGATATGGGAAACCATCCTAGCCAAAAATGAGCTTGTCTGAATTTGGATCTGGATAAACACTCAACTAGCTAGATCCACTCCAATCCAAATCCAACTCCTTTTGATTCTGCAAACTCTATAGTTTCTGGTCTTTAGGTTTCATGGTGGGACATAATTCACAAATAATTGTATGATTTCAACAATTGAACTCTGACGGACCCACTCTTGATAAAATTCAATGCTAACCCAATTTGTTAACCGGGCTTATCGGGATGGGTGCAAATAGGGCAGACTGGGCTGGATTAATGGTCGACCTAGGTCCATTCTTAGGATTTGGGCTTAAGTCCCAAGCCCGGGGTCAAGCCTGATCTTCACAACCAAGACCCAACCCATCCTGAATTGATGCACTTGAGTTGGGTTTGGACCCGAGTCCAATTGTACAATGAGCCCACTTTAAATATATTTGTTGTACCAAAAAAAATGTAAATATACATCTGTATATGTATATATGAATATATACACTGATAATACATATATAATGTCTATGTTGAAGTTATTCTCTACAAGCGCAATAATAAAATCCCTTAGGCTTTGTTTTGGGAAGAATGTAAATACAAACAGGTTCACTGCAAATATAAATATGCATAGTTTATACACATAGGCCTTGTTTGTATTTATTTGTATTGAATATATTTGTATTTGCACTCTTCCCAAACAAAGCCTTAGGCTCAGGAAGAAGTATAAATACAAATATGTAGTGTAAAACTTTGTATTTTGTATTATTCTGTACGTATTTATGTGGGAAGAATATAAATCTATTATATATATACACACATACACGCACGTACATCTCTTTGCTCCAAACCTTTCTTCTTAATTTTCTGTTTTTTTGAATTTTTTTATTTTTTTAATTCCACATGATTGATAGTTAAGCCAATAAGGAAACAACATAGGCTAAGCTATATCTAAAAATCAATAGATAAAAGGGACTTGCTTTTCTAATATCTAGCCAAGTGGCACTACTATCCCCCACTTTCTCCAAAATTATCTCTAATTCATATTTATCCTTTTCCTCACTTTTTATCCATATCTGTTTAGAGAAAGTTTGAATTAAAAAATTTAAGAATTATTTAAATATTATAATGAAATTATATAATAACTTTAAAATATTTACTCAAAACAAAAAAAAAAAATTATAATATATTTAATAATATTCATATTGTTACTAATTTTATACTTTTACAAAATTCATCATGAAATTATGTACTAACAATATCAATTATAATTTTACAAATTATTCCTTTTAGTGTTATTCAAGTGATAAAATATAACATTAAAAACAAAATATCATTTAAATATTTCAATAATTAAATATCTTAAATACAAAAAATTAAAAATAGCTAAATAATTATATAACAAAATATTTAGAATTATGTAAAATAACAAAAATAATAAATATTTTACATATTATTTAAATATTTCAATAACTAAATATTTTAAATAACGAAATATTTAACATAACTAAATTTTAAATAGTTAAAATAATGAAACTATGTAATAAATTTAAACAATTTCTTAAAAGTAGAAAAAATAAATATAATAGATTTAGTACTATCAAATTAATAATAATTTAATATTTTACAAAATTAATAACAAAATTCTGTAATAATAGTATAAATTAGAATTTTATGGATTATTAAATTTAATAAATAATTAATATTTTAAAATTTTAAATAATGACATTATTTAAATAACTAAATAATATTATAAATAATTTACTTATATCAATTAATAATTCTAGAAAATATTTTTCAAAAAAGAATATTTCATTATAATAATTTTAAAGTCTTAATCTATATTTGTTATATATGTATATATAATAAAATTATTATTTTTTGTATTTTTTTATAAATTTATTTTTAGTAATTATGCATTTCTGTTATAATTTATTGATTAATCATTAGCTATTTTCCCTTTTCTTTATGTTAGATACTGTAATAGAGAAGTACGGAAAAAGATTGCTTGGAAACTATAATAGGACTTGCTGGGGGCCTCTGTTTCTGCCTCCCATTTGATTTGCTCTGCTTCTTTCTCAGTGGGGGGTTAGGCTCCTTTAAGCGAGAGAGAGAGAGAGAGAGAGAGGGAGATAAAAAGTTAACAAATTATATTATTTGATTTATATAAAAATCAATTTAAAAAACAAAAGAGAAGTAACGGAGAGTTTAACCCTTCTCCCATTAGTTTTCAAAAACTAATACGTGTTACAATGCGGTTGGGTGCCCAGCCCTCATTGTAAATTCTTGTCTTTAGCTCATCCAGACCCGACTAAAAAACATATTTGCAACTAGAATTCAAAGCACCAATATGGTATATGAAAACCATAGTGTGGTTGGGGAAGTGTTGATTCTTTGATCATAGATCAATTTAGGGTCTATTTGGTTTGTAGTCTGAATAGGAATCGGAATGATCATTTTCCATAGTCTGTTGGGTTCAAACACGAATGAAAATTAGAATTAGAATTAGGAGGAATGGAATTTCATTCTCAAAGGAGAGACAGAGAATGGCCATTTCTTTAAATGGGAGAATACCATTCCAACAATAATGGGAATAGGATTCTAATTCTACCTACCCAAAGAGTTAGAATTGGAACAGACCATTCCAATTCCAGTCCCCTATTCCCGTGAACCAAATGGGAAGGGGGGCCTTAGAGTAATGGGGAAGCAATCCTTCTCCTCCATCTAACCAATACTGGCCG